CTTTTTTTCTAGTTATGTCAGTGTCAGTCCTCCATACTGCAGAACTTGGTAATTCAATGTCTGAATCAGGTGTGTTGGAGCAGGAAAACCATAAAACCTGTAGGGCTGCGGCCCTCGAGGACCAGGATTGCCCACTCCTGGTCTAAAAAGTCTAAATTGTAAAATTTGACGTGATTTAAATGAACTCTGGTTTGTTCTTTCAGCCCTCATATATGAATAAAAACAGCGCTGAAAGAAATGCTTAAAAACATATAACACTACAAAAGGCATTAAGCACAATGACTTTTATCATCTTCATCCCACATATTTACTGTTCGTGATGCACGTCCTACTCTGTTTCTTTTGTGAAACCACAGCACCACCTGGTGGATTATGGAGACTATGACAGCCAGGAAACACCAATAAAAAAAAACTACAGGTAGCTCCTGCGAGGATCCTTGTCCCTGAAACCACAAAGATAAGGTGAGCGAGTGCCCTAAAAGTAAACAACAAGAAAATCACATCACACAGAGAGGATGTGATGAAAGCTGTGTTCAAAACATCCTGAAACAGCTAAAGTTGCAAAAAGTCGCCCGATAATAAAAACAGCTGTTTTGAATTCACAACTAAAATTCTTTGGTTTTCTTTTGAGCATTTTGTTARAAAAACAAACTAAAATGTAGCAGTCTTCTCCATAAAAGTACAGATTTGTCAGTAAAAGGTTAGAAAGGAAAAAGGAAACCAGTTATTAGGACAAACGTAGGGGGGGAACATTTTACAGCAAATTATTTTTAATGGTCCCAAATCCTCCGAACAACTAAGTGTACACTCATGTAAAAGGAAAAGAAAGAGAAGATATGACAAAATTCATCACATCTAGAATTCCACTCAATCTTTAATCAAGATGGGATTACAAATTCTCCAAAAAATCTGCAGTTTCAAAGGGCAAAAAGGAAAAACTAGCTCACCTACTGAGGTCTTTAAAAACCTGTTCAAGTGTGACTGAAAACGTCCTGAACATTTAAAGGCAGGTCTTTTTTTTGTTGTTGTTGTTGTCATTTACAAAAAAGAAAAAAGATAAAATAAAAACAAGTCAAAAGATTGAGACAAATAGAAGAAAATAATAAAAATAATGAGGAAACTGCTGGCTTTTTTCTCCCAGGAGAAAGAACGTCCACTGAAGAACGACGACATTGATGACATCGAAATGAGGACACGGGCAGCTCCTGGCCTCATGCTGCCTCCCGTCTGGTCCTGTGTGCTAACTTAAAAAAGGAACAAAAAGCAACGGTCAGAGAGAACAGAAGCAGAAAGGAACGGTGAGGAAGTGAACTCCAGGGAGGGAATGGGGCGGGGGGTGCAATCGGTGGTTCTGGGTCTGAATTGGCTGACCCGTCTGGGCCGCTGTGTCCTTCCCTGAGTGGAGGGGGGGCAGGGGGAGGGGGCAGTGGGTTATGGTCCGAGCCTGTCAGCTCTGGTGTTTCACTTTGCGTGTACATTTGTTTTACAATGTGGTCTTTTTTTTTTTCAACCGCTCGCAAAATCGCCGAACACCAAGTCGTCTCTCCTGCAGATCTGTTCTACAGCAAAACATCTTTTTTCTTCTTTTTTTTCTCATCTGCTCCACTTCTCAGASGTTTTTATCCACTCCTGATTGGCACTTCTTTGAAATGGTCAAGTCTGAGGAGGCTTTATATTCCTTAACAGTCTGCTCCTCTGTTGGCCACACGCTAACGATGAGGGGTGTTTTTTTTTTTTAATTCATTCAATTTGTCTACAAGTTTGATCATCCCCATCAGGTCTGCTCTGACGCTGTCCGAGTGGATCAGCTGCAGCAGTGACTTCTTTACGAGCTCAGTTTGGACTTCTTTGTCGGTGGCAGAGGCTCCTCTTTAGTTTCCCCGTCCTCTTCTTCCTCCTCCTCTTCATCATCGTCAGGATAGTCCACCAGTCCCACTAAACCTCCCTGAAGAAAAGAGAAAAAGCCCTAATTAGTATTTAAACACTCCAGATATAAATTAATTCAACACACGTTTATCTGTTTTGTTGTTTCCTCTCTTCTGTTCAAGCCAAAAATACATTTTTAAAACTCGATTAATGCACGTTACAAAACGTGTGTTTTGTCCCTGTAACCGTCTCATTTCCCTGAATAAATAAAGACGACAAGTAAACCAGTAAACTCTACTGACACGTTTGCCGTGATGACAACTGTTTGTGATACAAAACAGGGTTTGTGTGAAAATTAACAACAAAAGGTGTGAACATTCATAGTCAAATCTAATTTTCACATTTCCTAAAGTGTTTCAAACAGATATTATAAAAACCTGCTTCTGGCTCAACTCCCCAAATGAACACATTTGAGGGGCTTCAGTTTGAGACTGCTGATAGTTACCTTTGTGGTTACTGTTGTGGTGGGAGGAGAGTTTCTTGCCCCCGAGCCTGGAGACCCCGGTGATCCTGGAGAACCAGGGTTCAGTGAGGCACTGGGAGGAGGGCTGGAGAGACTGGTTTTAGTGGATCCGGAGAAGGAAAGCTTGAAGCTAGGATTCTGCCTGCCTAAACTGGACTTCCCCAACACTTCTTTGTCCTCTGGGTCTTTTACTGGGAGCAGAGAAGAAGTGGAAAAAAAGTTAGATTTATTCATATGATATTCAGTTTATACTCGTTTTATTTTTTATTGTGTGAGACGGTTTCATCAGTTTTGTAAAATACTTATAAAACCACCATAACGATATTTGCATATGTACACATACTGTACTATTCAAAAATAAAAACCATAAATAATCATTTCTTACAATAAGCTAAATAAATAAACGAATGAAATAGCGAACACCACCACAGTTTTTCCTTGACCGGGGGTCTGCAACCTGTGGCTCTGGGGCCACATGTGACTCTTTGGTCCCTCTAAAGTGGCTCTTTGAAAATGTGACCAAACATAACAGATTTTTCTTGTTGTTTTGTTTTTATACTCACAACACGAATCAATTTTATGCAAATATGTGATTAATGCTACTAATACAAAAATACTAATACAAAAATATCCTGATGCATCTCAGTAATCCAGGTAAATAATCAAAAAGAAAAAATTGTATAGGTCTTCTGGACGGGTTCTTCTCTAATGAAACGTTTCGTCTCTCYTCCAAGAGACTTCTTCAGTCTGAGAGTTTCAGGCAAAATTCAGGCKTTTAAGCACTKCCTCCATGTGACTGATACTCACATCACATGGCTATCTATGACACCTAATTAACACCTATTGTTAACAGGGGGTGGAGTGATACTGGCAATAGCAGCACTGTAGGAGGGGGACAACTGAAAACGGAGGCCTCCACCTCTGTTTAATGATGGACGGTCTTTCTTCACAAAAATGGCTTCTTTTACTCCTCTCTCAAACCAACGTTCCCCAAACCCAGACCCAAACCAGTGGTTATTCCGTATGTTGCGGGTGTTTCGGAGAAACTGAGATGTTTATTTTCTAAACATGATGTCCCAGTGGCCTTCAAACCCCAAAACACATTACGGCAAAGGCTGGTTCACCCCAAAGATCCGGTGCCCCGGCACAAACAGAGCAATGGTGTATATGCTGTTAAGTGCCAGGAGGACTGCGACCAGTTATACATCGGGGAAACAAAGCAGCCACTGTTCAAAAGAATGTCCCAACACAGACGAGCTACATCTAATGGCCAGAACTCTGCAGTTTTCACTCATTTACAGGCCAGCGGTCACTCTTTCAGAGATGAGGATGTTCTCATTCTTGATAGAGAGGAACGTTGGTTTGAGAGAGGAGTAAAAGAAGCCATTTTTGTGAAGAAAGACCGTCCATCATTAAACAGAGGTGGAGGCCTCCGTTTTCAGTTGTCCCCCTCCTACAGCGTGGCTATTGCCAGTATCACTCCAGCCCCTGTTAACAATAAGTGTTAATTAGGTGTCAACGATAGCCATGTGATGTGAGTATCAGTCACATGGAGGAAGTGCTTAAAAGCCTGAATTTTGCCTGAAACTCTCAGACTGAAGAAGTCTCTTGGAGGAGAGACGAAACGTTTCATTAGAGAAGAACCCGTCCAGAAGACCTATACTATTTTTTTCTTTTTGACTAATACAAAAAGTAAAATATGTTAGCTCATGCTAGCCTGTTTTCTACCTAAATAATCCAACTTCTTTCTATAATCTTTCTCTCAAATCCATCAGTGTTATCTTTAAACACCTTTAGGACTACATAATAAGAATTAGGAAAAAAATGTCTGACTAGTTCAGCTGCACTAGTTTTTATGAAATTCTGTATAAACTTTAGTCAGTATTGTTCTTGTGCATGAATGCTTTTTTCTTCAGTCTTGAAGTGTAAAAATAATAATAAATAATAAAATACACAATATATTTTTTAGGTTTATGTCACCTCCACTGGCCATAAAGGTTCACGAAAAGGCTTTAAAAAAGGCCCACGGACCACCAGTTGATAATCACAGTTGTAGCTTATTATTAGMGAGCCAAGGAACAGAAATGGCTCTTTTGATTGTAAAGGTTACAGACCCCTATTGGTCTTGGGAGGGTGGGATGCTTTTAAACACAGGATCGACGGCGGAAACATCAAAACGTGTGCAACATTTTTATTTTTACTAAAACTTACAGAACACACAAAGTCTTTAATTAGCATTAGTTGATCCTTCAATATATCTCACTTAAATAACCAACATGTCTAAAAACTTGTACAGTAGGTTGCCTTCAGGCCTCGCTTGAAAAAGAGATCTGAGATCTCAATGGGACTTGCCTGACTTTAATAACCGTAAATAAATAATGTCTGGTCAAGAACCAATTTCAGATATCTGGCGTGTAAGTGCGGTGAAGTTGATTAAATGTCAAATGGCYTGCCGTACAAGTGAGCAAGATGGACTTCGGAAGAAGCAAACGTCCACCTCTTCTTTTCATCTCCTCAGTTAAGAAAAAAATTAGTAATAATTTTTCATGCTGACTTCAATGTGAAAAATACAACTATGGTTGTTGTTTGCTTCGCTCTGCGTGATGTAGAGTGAGAGAGGGAGAAATTATGAGGACCTACCACCAGTGATAATATTTCAGATATTTGAGAAAATAAACTCATTGGGCCTCATGCAAGAACATGTTCGTATTTTTATCCTAAATTTCTCTTACTTTTGTTCATACGAAGGGTTCGTACGAACATGTCACTTCAGGTTCAACAAACTCTTCTATCTTCAGGAAAAGGGTGTAAATGAGCTGCGTAAATTCCACCTGTTCATATCTTGTGCATGTGAGAGGAGATAATTACCACCCCAAAAACACCATATAAGGCTGTGTTTCCTGCCTCAGATATCAGGAAGTGTCCATTCATGTAAATG